TATAAACTTTGCTTTAGAAGATTTTTAAGCTTATACAAAAATTATAAAAGCTACATGTAGGCAGATGCCTATAGAAGCACATTAGGCAGTTAAAAAAGTTAAGCGCGCACATGCACTTCTCTAATAAGCATTTAACATCCTAAAGACTAAGCTAGGTAACTGTACAAATAATAAGGCTATCCTGCAGATAGCAGTTAAGGCTCTAAACAACACAGCTAGCCCACACAGTCTAGTACCCACGCTGCTAGTCTTTAGGGCATACCTAAAAATTAACCTAGACTCTCTACTATTACTAGACATTATTACATAAGTAAGCGCTGTATAAAAGGTAATAAAGATACTTTAAAAAGACTATATAAAAGTAAACATTAATTATGTAATTAACACTTATAATAGCCCTACAACATAAAAAGTTTTTAACCTCCCCCTTAGCTTAAAGATTATAGCATAGAAAGAGAAGAAAAGCTAGACTAGCCTATATAAGATTAAAAGCATTAAAAAAAGAGACATTATTATTAAAAAAAAAAATAGCCTACTAAAGCTTTAATGTACATAAGTTAAACTATACTATAAAAAAAAAAAAAAGACAACCTACTTATAACAGATAACCTAGATAAACTAATCTCTATATAAAAAAATCCTCTAAAGAAGAGAAAAAAAAAACAGCCTTATAAGAAAGTTATAAAGGTAAAACTAAAGCCTACTATAAACTAAGCCCCTTAGAATAGCAATGCTGCACTAGTGCAAAAAGAAGATATAGATACTAGAAGAAGTAAAAGGCAAAGGAAACCTGCATAAAGTCTAGACTAGGTATTTCTAACCTAGAAGAAAAAGAATAATTAGGCCTTATCTATTAAGCTTTATATAGACAGTGTAATTACTACACCTAGAAAACTATTTAAGAAAGTAGACTACATAGAGATAAACACTCTAATTACTAACAGCACTTTTAAGGTTATAGCATATAACTTAATAAAGCACAAAAGTTAGATTTTTAACCTTTGCCTTATATAAAAAGTAAAAGGCAAAACAACCTAACTATATAAGAAATCCTGCCTAGTGTTTACTAGCTACTTAGATAAAAAGAAGAAAGAAATCCTTACCTAGTTACTAACTATCTAAAGAATAAGCTAGAGACTACTCTTAGCTATAGAAGCAAGCCTAAAAGCTATATACAGAATGCATTTTAAACTGTGTAATATTACATAAGTATACATCTAATTAACAGATAAGCTTATGCGCACGCTGTACATAAAGCTACTAAAGGAGATGCGCTAGAGCTTTCTACTAAATATAATACTCTAGGTTATACAACCTTTATATAGAGCTGCTAAATTAGGACTATATTAGTTTAAAACATATTATAACTACTATAAAAAAAAGCTATGCATGCATATTTTTTTATACAACCCCTACCTCTTAATTACTAATAAAAGAGAGCACACTTTTAGTATTACTAGCCTATAAACAAATAACACTTTAAGCATTATAATAAAAAATTTTACGTAAAAAGAAAAAAAAAAACTATAAAAAGTAAAGTTTTACATAAAAGGTAAGACTATTCTAGTAAAGAAACAGCTTATTAAGTTTAATAGTAAAAGAATTAAACTTACATATAACATAGTAGTTTTTACTTAGAAAAGATAAGTAAGCTACTTTTATATAATTAACCTAAAGAACAAGGATGCTACATAATAATATATTAAGTAATGTATAAGAGGGGCATATATTACATCTATATGTTAACTAGAAGCAGCATTTAACCTATCTATTACTGTATAAACTACAGACCTTTTACATAACAACATTAACACACATAATGTATAAATTTAATAATAAATAGATAATAGTAAGCATAGTCTTACCTTCTTACTATTACAGCTTAATTATGTAAAGCTGTTTATCTTTATAAATAAATTATTTGCTAATAATAAAGACCTTAGCTTACAGCTAAAATTCTTAATTATATTAGGCAATAAGAACTATACAAAGCAAAGCAACTACTTTAAAATACTAGATAACATTATACACTAGAATTCTACTAAGTATAAAAGAGTAACTAAAAGTGTTCTTGCTAGTAAACTATATAGAATAGTTAGAGAGTTTAATAATATAATTACTTTTAGTACAACTCTACAGCAAATTATATAAATGCTTAAACTGCTACTAATTTTAGTAGTAATCTGCATAAATTTAAGGTCTTTATATAATTACCTTATTAAGCTAGGCACTACTAGTAAAAAGTAACTTATAATTAACATTATGTTACTTTATAAATTATATAAGAAAAGAGAAATTACTAAAATAAAGTAAATTAATAGTAAAGATAACTTAGTAAATGCATATATAAAAAAAACACTAAACTAGGCTTTTTAATTATTAGTCCTAACTAACTGCCTCTTTGTCTAGATAGAAGCATCTGTGGACTAGCTAGATCTTGTGCGCAAAGATGCTTTAGACTAACTAGACTAACAACGCCTTTATATAAGGCCTATTTCTCTTTATTTTTTTTTTTTTTTATATTATACGCACTTATCTTTCTTATTATAAGGATCTGTTACTGTTAGCACTATACAAAAAGAGAAAAGAGCTAGGGAATTATACAGTAGAGCTTAAAAAGCAAAGGATAAAGAAGAGAAGAGCTATTTATATAGCACAACTAGCCTATTTTAACACATAGCATTACTAAGGCAAGTCCTAACAAATAGAGTAGAGTAAAGGCAGAACATAATTAGATAGACCTACACAGACAGAAGGGAGGTAATGTGTACAAAAGGCAACTCTTTAGATAAAAAGAAAAGTTGCTAGTGTCTGTACGCAGCAGCAGCGTCGCGGCCTAGATACAAGCGATCACGCACGAGCAGGATCACGTATCTATGTCACATGATGCTCGTGCGCGAACCTCTGTGCGCGAACATCTAGATATCCCCCTTTTCCTCTGTACAGAGGAAAAACAAGAAGCAATTAACACCAGTTACCTAACACCCCCGTGCGATGTTTACACTGTGCAAACCTCTCCGTCTCGTACGCATTTGCTAACACCAAGTGCTAGCTAGCAGAGAGTCCATTCAACACATACATCGTTCACCCTTGGCACTGCCTCAAATCTTACATCTAAATCATCCCCGACAGCGCCTACGTTGCTATCTGAATGTCAACCTCGTGTATGCCAATGCCGACACCGGAGCTGAAATGAACCTGGTCTCACCTGAGTTTGCTACGCAGCGCGGTTTTCAGGTCGAAAAGCCGGATGCGGAACATCAAGAAGTTGTACTTGCGGACAGCAGCCATGCTCCCATATCTGGACGATTCCGTGCACGCTTTGACACCTTCGACCGACCCTCGCAGGATGTGTCGCACGTGTCTCACGCGATATCATACCCATGTACTGCACTATTCACTCATTAGGCATAGCTCCTATCTCGTACAGTATATAGTCAGCTCAGAGCTCTATCGAGCTCCTCAGACCTTACAATACACTCGTTCAATCCACCTTGTTTGGATCTCGCTCCCTTGTCGAGTCGTTTGCCATATGTCCCCTCCTCAGCTCATGCAAGAGGATGTCCTCCGACCGCGAGCACATAATAAATATTTCTATATTCTCAATGGCTTGACAGCGGACGTACTTCTTGGTGAAGAACTTCTCTTTAAGATCTCTGCATTCTCAGACTAGCATAACCCCTTTGTGGATCTGGATTGCCTCAGAATATATTCTGATTTAAATTACGTTACCTGGCTCTCAAGACTTGAGAAGAGTTTACTGCGCATACCAGATAGTCAATTTTCGGCCAGCACTGCATCAGCAGGTACGATGTCCGGTCTAGCACCCGGAGATGCTGCAGCAGCCCTCGAAGTCGCTTTCCGGCTAGAACTTGATGATGATGACGCCCGCAAGCAGTACCTTCGCCAAAGAGCGGATCGTGAAATCTCTCTTCTCTCTGAGCCCAACAAATCAAGAAGGAAAGCCGCAGAAGATAGCCGGCGCCAGACATATAATGAGAATCGTGCGAGGCGTGTACAAGAGCACAACGTTCGCATGGCTGCGATGGCACAGCAGAGTAGAGCTACCTCGAATGCCTCCGGGAGGACTTCCTGAACGTGGCCTTAAATCCCGCGAGCGCCTTGGAGATCAAGAAGTGTAGACGTATGGGAGCCAAAGATCCTTGCGTTGAAAAGGGCCCACTGCGGGAACTAAAACAGGACTACCCTCAGCCATCCAAAATCTAGGCGTTTTTGTGACTGCTACCAAGCTACACCCACCAACCCAGTCATGCCTAATGTCCGGCGGCACGTTTGGGTCTCGTGGCGGATCGCGTTTTGGACTTAGCGGTGGATCAGGCCGGATTCTGGATTTCAACCTCCATAGATCTAACTAGATCGTGGCTCGTGCTTTAACCTTCTTGGCTACCTCCTTTGGCATTCTTCTTAGTTAGCAACAACAACGTAATGTCTTGCTCCATCCACGCCAGAGTAAATTCAACGCCACCGGACAACCCTACGGCCGGTGCGGGTCGGCCATCCTCCCTGCTAACAGTGGCAAGCGCTACCTGCTATAGATATCGCCACATCAGTTATCCAAGTACATATTATCATCTTTGTAGGTATCGTTAAAGACAATACTAATTGTGGCACCAGTGACTCTGAGAATATATATTCACGTGCCGTCGGCGGCCCGACCATATTCCGATAGATCCCCCGGCCATGTAGGCGTCGTACATTATTGACATTCCCTCAGCTTTGTTATTACACCATTACTCTTTACAAACAATCTTATCGATAGTATTCAAGTGTATAAGAATATGGTCGATCTAGGCAGGAATCATGCGAACTCAAGGTAGATTGATGAGAGCGCCTTGCAGGCTGATCTGCATTTGCTGCGCCCCACTCCGAGGCTGAGCCATCGCATTGCTTTTCCCTTGCCTCAGCCTTCTCACTCATCTAGGATTCTATAAGCCCCACCGGCGGACGTAGGTTTCAAGCGATACTCTGTTAGTAGTCACCAATTTTGCTCTCCAGAAAGCTTTGTGTATGCCTGCATCTAATCATTTTCTTTGACGCGCGCAGTTCTCAGCCACCAGCGTCGCGGTATCCGAACTCCTGCTTTTTCAGCCTTGCAACCTGAAAGCTTCTGCTTAACCAGTTCTTCGTGCAATACGGATGGAGAACTTTAAGTACGAACCGATCAACCTCGAACGCCCCTCATTGCGGCTGTTGCGACTTCTGAAAGGCGAGGAACCCGATAACGTCGAATGCGAGCTTTTCCAAGCCTACCTGGACGGCGATGACCTGATACCTTATCATGCTCTATCCTACACATGGGGAGGCACGGAAATGTCTTCCGCTGTAATTGTCAATGGAAGGAGGCTTGGTGTAACAGAAAATCTGGAGTTGGCACTTCAATATCTCCGCAGTCGCGAAATGGATCGGATACTTTGGGTAGATGCAATCTGCATTGATCAAGGCAACAAAAGTGAACGAGGACACCAGGTCCAACAAATGGGGAATATATATTCTCAAGCCGAGGAAGTAATCGTCTGGCTGGGCCCAGCCACATACGCGACCAATGTCCTTATGGATTCTCTCACGAAGCTAAAAGACAAGAGTTTGGGGTCAGCTTGTAGGAACTGGAATCCTGCCGATATACGCTGGAATAATCTCTGGCGATCAGTCCAACCTAGTCTAATGGATGAGTACACAAGTTTAACCACCTTGCAACACAGAGGACTTGAATTGCTTTTGAGCCGGCCTTGGTTTAAAAGAGTATGGATCTTACAGGAAGTGGTCAATGCAAAAAGAGCTGTAGTACAGAGCGGTAAGAGGTCCATTCCGGCATATATCTTCGCCCTTGCTCCTTTGCTTCTACAGACAAGGCCAGAGGATCATTCTCAAGCCGTATTGGATATTATGCCCGGACCCGTAAGGAAGAATTCCTGGTGGAGCGAAAAGAGAAATCTGTACACACTTTTGCAAAAATTTAGCAAAAGTGAAGCAAGTGACCCACGAGATAGGGTTTACGCCTTGCTTGGGATTTCCTCAGACGCATTCGACGCGCGTAGCCTTCGCCCAGACTACAACAAAAACATCCAACACGTTATCAACAACACTGCTGCATTTTTATTCGGATCATCAACCGTGTCGTACACAACAATAGAAGAGCTTTTACGAGCTATGTCTTCTATAGGAGAGCCATCGTTTAGCAAAATAATAAAAACGTGTACTCCAACCAGGGTAGCCGACCATCTCAAGCACTACGGAGAACAAACTAAGGTCACAGAAGCGGTAGTAGAAGCTGCAGCCGCAAACAAGGG